ATTGATAGGGCGTTAGTTTTCTCACTCCCTGCTAGGGTGTGTAGCAGAGGTGAAGCATAGTATGGTACCCTATGGCCTGACAGACCACTGGTTTGCGGTGAAGGTGACGCTCAAGGCGGCGGCCCTGGCTTGTGGAGGCTCCAGACGCCTCGGCCTGGGGGAGAAGGGGTCAAGAACATCATCTCAGCGGTGGTGACGTCGCACGGGAGCAGCTTGGACCAAAGCCTGGAGAGGCTTGTGGTGAACCTGCGAGCATGCATGCGGGCTCACGTAGTAGAAGAAAGGAAGAGGGTGAGAGCGACTTTGTTACATCTGGAGCAAAAAGTGGAAGAGCTGCGGTGGAAAGTGATGGCGGATGCCAGATCGCAAGCCCTATACGAGGAGCTGATCAAAGCCGAAGCAGCACTCAAGCTTTATCAGGACTGCAACAAGGAGCGGCTGCAGGTCATGACGGGGTTGCTGATGGAATTGGCGAGCGAGACCCCTTCGGGTTTCCTGTCGGGGCTGGTCAAATCAAGAAAGGCAAAGACGGAGTTTCTGGAGGTAGTTTTCAAGGGGGTGCAGAGGAAAGGGGCGAAGGATGTGTTACAGGCGGCTTCAGAGCACTTCAGAGAAGCATGCGCGGAGTCACCGTCAAATCATAACATAGTGCCGTGGCCAATAGACGAGGAAAGGAGACTGCAGGAGAAGGATCAACTGCAACTTGACGCGGAGTGGTCGGAGCAAGAGGTGAAGGCAGCGCTCAAAGGCTTACCAGCGGGGAAGGCTCCGGGGCAGGACGGCCTACCGAAGGATTTTTTTGAGCAGAATTGGGAGTTGCTCGGCCCGGAGGTGATGAAGGAGGTTAAAGGCTTTGAGTCGACGGGTGTACTCTCGGAGGCTTTCACGACTGCGGTTACCATCCTGCTGCACAAAAAAGGAGATAGATGTGATTTGGGCAATTACAGGCCGATCACCTTACTGAGCTTTTTCTACAAACTGCTGGCGAAAGTGATGGCGAACAGAATCAAGCAGGTCTTACCACGGGTGATCTCGGACAAACAGTTTGGCTTTCTTCCGGGGAGGAGCCTTGCTGACGCGGTCTCGCTGGTAGCAGATGTAATTGACGCAGCGGAGGCGGAGGATGAAGATTGGCTACTGCTGCTGGTGGACTTTCAGAAAGCCTACGATTCCGTGTCACGTGATTACCTGTTCACAACGCTGCGCAACATGGGCTTTCCGGAGAAGTTTGTAAGATGGGTGAGAGGTTTGCACGATGGTGCAGCAACCAGGATGCTGCTGAACGGTTGTGTAGGAGATCGGGTGGCGATGGACAAGGGAGTACGGCAAGGCTGTCCACTCGCCCCTTATCTCTTCCTTTGTGCGGTGGAGCCGCTCTGCCAAGAGATAGGGAGGAGAAATCTGGGAGTTCGGAAGCGGGGGGTGAAGGGGGAGCTAGCCTATATTGGGTACGCCGATGATACAACTCTTGTCCTGAGAGGGAAGGAACAAGTGGCTACAGCGGGTAGGCTGCTCGACGAATTTGCTGAGATTTCGGGGCTGAGGGTGAACAGCAGCAAAACGACACTGATGCCGCTGGGGAAGAACAGGAGGAGACTGCAGCCGATAGAGTCGCGTTTCACATGGGCTAACAAAGGAAAGTCGGAGCGTTTACTCGGAATCTGGATCACCTCTGGAGGGTCGCCGGGACCTGCATGGGACAAGGCATTTGAAAAAAGTCAGCGCGGTGCTGAGCTGCTGGGAATCAAAGCACCTCAAGACGTCGGCACGAGTCACAATCATCAACAGCTACGCGATGCCGATTTTGTTGTTCCAAGCACAGATTTACGCTCCGCCGCACGATATCTGGACCAAGGTGAAAAGGCTGTGCCACAACTTCATCTCGGGTGGAAGAGCGCTCCTTGATAGGCATTTCACCCTCTGGAGTTACGAGCTGTCGTGCAGGGGGCGGAAAGAAGGGAGACTGGGAGTGATTGACCTGAAGCAGCGGATTGACAGCATTGTGACACAAAATCTTGGAAAAGTTCTGGCGGAACAGGTGCCACTACGGAACTGGCTATGGGAAAGGGCGGCTGGTTTCCCGCTCGGCTTGGCTACGATCTACGCCCACCCCTCAGTGCTAAAACATTGGCTGGGCGGCGGCACGAGGTGGAAGGCAGCGGTGAAGGCGCTGTGGGAATAAAAAATTGTGACCATGGGTGACCCTGCACACAGATGGGACGCGGAGGAGGAGCAGTTGCTTTTTAACCGCAAGATTTTCTTCAGTGGCAACTCGCCCTTCGGGAATCAGGCGGGCTCACACTGTCTGAAGGGCGTCCGTCTGGGGACCTGGTGGCCAAAGAGGCAAATGGTAGCAGGAGTCTCAAAAGCGAGGCGGTCCTGGAACGGGAGCTGGGAGGTGAGGCGCAGAGGAAGTGGGCTCTCAAGGCTTGGGAAGCGGCGCCCCAAGGATGGAGAAACTTGATACTTAACCAATTGATGGCGGAGGAGGTGTTCAGGGAAACAGCGCTTATCTGCTCACCGTCGTTCTGGCCGGGAAAGTTTCTTTACTATCAGCTGGAGCACGTGGAAGACGGCGTGTTATACGGGAGGAGGGTGGAAGTGGATAAAAAGGGTTTCGTGTCGTTGGTGACATACGCTGAGGTGGGGACGGTGGATTTCCTACGAGCTACGCCCATGGCGGTCATTGACGGGAGAGTTCGTGGCCCGCTAGGTACCCCAAGGACAAGGCTGCTACACTCCCCGATCTGTGAAAAGGGAGAACGGGCTGAGCTGAAACAGCTGAGGAAGGCGATGAAACCCTTGATGTCTCAACCCAAGCAGCAGCTGCGGTGGGAGGAGGAGACGGGGAAGAAAATCGATTGGGAGAAGGCCATCACGGTCCGGGACTCTTTGGCAACCCCATGCAGAGCGAGTGAGGTGGTGCTGAGGTTGCACAGCAATAACCTGCAAGTGGGGGAGAGGCTCCCTTTCTTGGGGGAGAGGGCGAAATGCGTGCACTGTGGAGGAGTGGAGTCGCAGGACCACTGTTTATTCAGCTGCCCGGCGATCCAGCAAGTGGTCGAGGTGATGAAGGGTGCGGTACAGTGCATTAACCCGGGCAGGGAAATGAAGTCACTCGGGGACATGCTGTTCCAGAAGAGTGGCACGTCGACCGGTTTTCCGAAAGCTGCAATCATTTCAATTACAGCACAGCAAGTGTGGTTGGAGAGGTGCAATGCGGTGTTCCGTGGCAGTCGTTTCCAGCCTAAGAGAGCACTGAGGCGCATGGCGGTTAGTTTTACGAGACACGTGAAGATATAAAGCAGAGTGCGGAAACGGTTGGCTGGCAGGGGTGGTTCGAAGAGGACAGGGGAGTGGAGTCACCTGAATGCTGATGAGGCAACGGCTTTGAACAGGCTGTATGAGAACGAAGCCTCGATGACGTGGAGAGCGGGCTTCAAGGCCATATGGGAAGATGGCGGTGTAGCTTTCCTGCCCCCGTAAGGAGGAAGGGGGGGGCTGGTTACCTGTAACCACCTGCATGCCCTCCTAGAATCAGTTACGACTGCGAGTGTATGTATGCGTGTAGTATACTTATGCTCACCAGAAAAAAAAAAAAAAAAAAAGTACAATTCGTTCTTACACGAAAAAAGACCCTTCATGGTGGGGTTCCATGGGCTGCTGAACACGAGTGTGAGTACAGGCTTGGGGAATCAGAACCTGTGCAGTGCTGCACCGCCGAGGGTTGAAATTGAAATCAGAAACTGCCAGGGTTTTCTGACATGTCTGCAGATGTGACAGGCTGACGAAAATGAGCGGGATTGGCCAATGATCAGCTGGATTTCAACTTTCGCGACTTCCGCTACGCGAGCTGTGTGCGACATTCTGGAACGGTTAGACGAAAGGTGACCGTAATGTAATTGGTTCACGAAAAAGTCTTAATGGACTGCCTGATTCGGAGCTGTGCATTACGGTAAGACAGCTTTCAAAATGTTACAGAACGCTACAGCTTCGGTTTGTGACATGTCGAATGTCTAAAATCCATGGCTGGTTTCGCCGTTGATATTTCTGCAGTCATGTGCTGGTTGTGATCTGAACCATGGCTGACTGGCGAGTCTTTCAAACTCTTCCAAACTTTCAAACTCGCCATGTCCTGGTTATGGGTGTTTTATCCGACGACTGACATCTTCTCACACGGCTAACTGGCGAGTCTTTCAAACTTGACGCGGCTGAATGACTGGTGTCTCAAACGGCGATGAGTGATGAGACTGACTGCCATCATAGCATCTCCCGAGCTCGCGAAGTGAGAGTGTGACTATGCGTCTGAAGATCAAGGCAGTACAGTGTAGGCTCGCCGGAGTATACGTTTCCTAGTAAAGGCCTTTCTATGCTTCATGTCTGATGTCATTCAGCCCCTAGAATTGGTTTTCGCTTAGACGAAGACACCTGCATGACCGTTGGAAGGGTTGTAGCATGGCGAAAGGCGGGTCCGCATGCACAGCTCTTTCGCTCAGTGATGACGAATATGAAACGCTAAGTGACAGCGAAATAGAATGTGCCAGGGACAGTGGTAGCAGGAATAGCGACAGCTACAGCGATAGTAGTAGGAATAGCGACAGTCTTAGCGATAGTGGCGGGGATATCGACAGCGATGCCGATAGTAACGGCGATACGTACAATGACGTCGACAGGTCCTGGGAGGTGGACGAAAATGTCAATGACGTGCTAACGGACGGCAAAACGGAAAGTATGATGAAAACAAGAAGCTACTTCATGTCGCCAGAAGCTACTATCTCGAAAAGTCCGGGGAAGAAGGCTGCTGGCAATACGACTGATCACAAAGTCTCCGCTTTGCCGTCCAATCCGTACGCGAAGGCGTTATCCTTGATTCGAGGTACTTCCCCAACCCTACCCTGTACTCGTTTAATCAAATTGCCTTTTGTCTTGTACTTTTTAGATGATTTGAGCTACTATCTTCTTGTTTCTCATCCCATTTGCATGATTCACTCCCACCGCAGCGGGAGAGTGGAGCAAGCTGACTGGTGAGCTCTGCAAGGCCTATCTGCGCTACTACGGCCTGCGGCTGAGCGACTCGAAGGCGAATTTGATCAGTCGCATTCAGAGACATTACGAGTAAGCTCCTTGTTACGTCAGGGAACGACATCTCGCGGTGACTTTTGATTCGACTCAAAAGTCACCTTCATTACGAGTAAGCTCTTGGTTACGTCGGGGAAGGACATGTCGCTTTTCAGCTGTCGAACGCCCTCCTGTTCACCTGAACGGAGTAGAGTCTCCTGCTGCTTCAGGGATCCGCAATGCGTGGCGGAAATTGCTGTTCAAGCGTGAAAAGCTGATGAGAGCCTTTTTTTTTGTTCCATATGATTCACCTCTGTTCCATACTTGTAATTTTTTCTTCGTTTTTTTCTCACTCCAAGACAGACTCAAGGACGTCCAGTCAGCTAAGCGCCAGTACCCACGCGCGTCCTTCTTCATCAATTGTACAGGTAATCAATAAGACAGTGTATTTTTATGTGACTTAGATAGTTTGACCATATACGAGATAACCGCTTCATGACATGCTGAAACACGTTCCTGTTTTCACACCTATTGGCACCGTCTTACTAGGGTTTTCTGGAAGTTTGAACTCCCGTTTTTCTGTTTCAATGTAATGATTCCACAGGTGATGTTTGCAGAAACGACGTTGTTCTCTTCAATCAGCGAGTATCCACAGGGTCGGTCTCAGGGTCAGTCCCAAGGTCAGTCCCAAGGTCAGTCCCAAGGTCAGTTTAAAGGTCAGTCCCAAGGTCAGTTTAAAGGTCAGTCCCAAGGTCAGTTTAAAGGTCAGTCCCAAGGTCAGTTTAAAGGTCAGTCCCAAGGTCAGTCCCAAGGTCAGTTCAAAGGTCAGTCCGAAGGTCAGTCCCAAGGTCAGTTAAAAGGTCAGTCCCAAGGTGGGTTCAAAGGTCAGTCCCAAGGTCAGTTTAAAGGTCAGTCCCAAGGTCAGTTTAAAGGTCAGTCCCAAGGTCGGTTTAAAGGTCAGTCCCAAGGTCAGTTTAAAGGTCAGTCCCAAGGTCAGTTTAAAGGTCAGTCCCAAGGTCAGTTTATAGGTCAGTCCCAAGGTCAGTTCAAAGGTCAGTCCCAAGGTCAGTTTAAAGGTCAGTCCCAAGGTCAGTTTAAAGGTCAGTCCCAAGGTCAGTTCAAAGGTCACTTCAAAGGTCAGTTTAAAAGGTCAGTCCCAAGGTCAGTTTAAAGGTCAGTCCCAAGGTCAGTTTAAAGGTCAGTCCCAAGGTCAGTCCCAAGATCACTTCAAAGGTCAGTCCCAAGGTCAGTCCCAAGGTCAGTTTAAAGGTCAGTCCCAAGGTCAGTCCCAAGGTCAGTTTAAAGGTCAGTCCCAAGGCCCGCCTGTTTTTCTGCATCGTAACATCTCATCTCATTGCCTCTGTTTTTCCAAGCCAACGTCGCAGCAGCAGAATCAGCAGTAGCAGCAGTAGCAGCAGCAGCAGAATCAGCAGTAGCAGCAGAATCAGTGATGGTAGGCTCAGCAGCACCAGCACAATCAGCGGCGGCAGCAGCACCACCACCATCCACACCCCTCGTGCTAACCTTACCTTAGTGACAGCCACTCAAAGAACTGGCAATGGCAGCAAGCGATTGACCCTCCCTCCCTCACTCCCCTCCGTGCATCCATAGCAACCCTCCCACCCTCCCTCGTGCACTCATTCCCATTGTCCCTATCTCACACTTCCAACCACCATGCACACCCCTTCCTCTCACCTGAATGACTGCCAGTAGCAGCACTGGAAGGTGCAGCAGGCGATTGTGGGCCAAGGCTGGGGAAGGGAGGGGAGACAGGCAAGAAGAGGGGCTTTTGAGGCGCCTCAAAATCTGTAGCAGGCGACAGATGACTGGGCTGCATGTGACTGACTGGGCTGCATGTGACTGACTGGGCTGCATGTGACTGACTGGGCTGCATGTGACTGACTGGGCTGCATGTGACTGACTGGGCTGCATGTGACTGACTGGGCTGCATGTGACTGACTGGGCTGCATGTGACTGACTGGGCTGCATGTGACTGACTGGGCTGCATGTGACTGACTGGCTGGTAGAGCACGACTGCATATGACTGGCGGAGCACGAATGTTGGGATCGATTCTCAACCCGAAACACATGTGGGGGGGTCTGACAGTGAGTAGGAGGGAGGGAGGGAGGGAGGGAGGGAGGGAGGGAGGGAGGGGAGGAGTTTGGCTAGGAAAGCCAGCATACCAGCCCAGTGTTCCCAAGTGTGTGTTCCAAATGTATGTTGTTCACTCATACCCTACTCAAACCGATCTAAATAGTGACGCACCTTATTCAGCTGCATCCAAACCAACCTTTTGAACACGCCCTAAGCCAGTCACGCCTATCCATTCCTGCAGCGCGCAATCAAGACATATGTCCCCGAACGTACCGCTTCGAACCTGCACCCCCGAACCTGCACCTCCCAAAACTGCATTTCCAAACCTGCATCCCCGAACCTATCAGAGGTCCGGGTCCTGCAGCTGCACGGCGAGTATGCCAGCTGTCACGCCCACAGAGGCCGGGACCCGGCTCTTGATCTGCCATGCTGCCACCTGGCAGGACAAAACGTGAGGAGAAGCCCGAGGGTGGGGTAAGGGAAGAGTGGTTTGGGGGGTCTAGAATCTTGAGATGTTACAAACCTGGCAGGCCGAAAGGTGGGGGCAATTCCAAGGGTGGGGTGCAGGGAAGGGAAGGAACAAGGTTCAGGGCTTAGTGACCTGAGATGCGGCAGACTTGGCAGACCTAAAAGTGGGAACATTCTTAACACCTGTTTCTCTTTCTACCATAATTGCGACTAAAGAGTTCAAACCCCAAACCCCGTTCCCTCCCTGCGACCTAATGGTGGGGATATTCCCAAGGGTGGGATGCAATGCTATAACGGGTGTGATAATATCACGAGCATTACGGTACAGCTAGCCGGGGAATGCCGAAGGCTCACAAAATTGCGAGTGGCGGCAGCAAGTGGCCCCGCCAGACCCTCCTCTCCCTCACAGCCTGCGAATCCTCGCAGAAAACTCACGAGATGCGATAACGGATCATGGATTGCTACACTATACCGCGGATACGCTACACCGAATGCCTACCTGGTCGATTCCTAGTAACGCCTAACGCCTACGCCGCAGGTCCCAGAAGGCTCGCCCTCACCTCCTCCCATTCCTCCCAGGAAGCCCTCGAGACGCGAAAACGACTCGTTATCCGTTACAGCATTGCTCGGAGCAGTGCTTTGATAACGGAAACTAATAACGGCACGCCTAGTACCCGGGTCTATCCCGAAGGAGATGGATTTGCGAGTAGCGGCGGGCCCCAGCAGACTCGCCGGCACCGCCTCCCACTCCTCCCACTCCTCCCACTCCTCCCACTCCTCCCAGGAGGCCCATGGCACGTGTCGCAGCGCTAATCGTAGCCTGTAACGAGTACCGTGTTAACGAATGCTGTTGTTGTGTGACGATCAAGTGTAGGGGTGGCGAATGGGGGGAGCGGCGGAACCGCGTGGGGCGGCCTGAGGGAGGGAGGGAGGGAGGGAGGGAGGGAGGGAGAGAGGGAGGCAGGGAGGGAGGGAGCGAAGGAGGGAGGGAGGGAAGGAGAGATTGGGGGAGTTGAGGGGAAGAGAGTGGAAGGGATGGAGTGCTTGATGGGGGAGAATGGATGGCGAAGCACGGATGGGGGAAGGGGGTGTACGGATGAAAGTATTGTATCTCACAGCAGAGAATGACTGGCGGAGCACCAATGAGGGAGAGGACGCACCATGTGGGGTAGAATCCGAAGCGCCTTAAGAAAGTGATGTGAGGGAGGGAGAGATGGGGGGGGGAGAGGGGGGGGAGAGTAAAGCACCTCACTCAGCCGCATTCAAACAAGCTCTATGAACACGCCCTGAGCACAGCCCTTCCTACACCACCCATTCCAAACCTACGTACCACTCCGAACCTGCACCCCCGAACCTACCAGAGGTCCGGGTCCTGCAGCTGCACGGCGAGCATGCCAGCTGTCACGTCCACCTGACAGTTCAAAACCCGCCCCCCGATCTGCCATGCTGCCACCTGTCAGTTCAAAACGCAAGGGCGGAATGGAGGGGAACGGAATAGGGTTTGCGGTTTCGCAGGTCACAGAAGCATGAATACGTGAAAATGAGGAAACGAGGATACTGGCGGCTAGGAATTTACTCACCGTGATTCACCCCTCTCAGTACAATCATAATTCATTTCGGGGATAACGCATGTCTTCATATCAGGGATGGCAGTGGCTTGGATGCTACGGTGCTACCTACCGAAGCTGATCGACCCATCAAGCTTTCCCTCACAAGGCACAGTAACGAATCACGAATCACACTACAGCGGGGATATGGCGACACCTACTACCTACCCGGCCGGTCGATCCCGAAGGAGTTGCGAATGGCGGCGGGCCCAGCAGGTTCGGCCTCACCGCCTCTTTTTCCTCGTCCCCGCGATATAAAGAGTAATACAAACGTCATAGCTAGTACCCGGTCGATCCCGAAGGGAGATGGGCTCGCGGGTCGCGGCGGGGCCCAGCAGACTCGCACGCACCGCCTCCCACTCCTTCCGGAACGCACATGGCATGTGGCGCAGCGCTAGAAGCAATAATCTATCCTGTAACAAATGCGATTGTAAATAATGCTGTTTGAACGAATGTGTTGTTGTGTGACGAGCTGTAGGAATCGCAATACTATTATCGGCCTAGTGCTAGCCTGGCGGGTGGCCGCAGGAAATCAAATCGTGATTTTGCTAAGAATTTCGAAGTCGACAAAAAAAAAAAAAAAAAAAAAAAAAAAACAGGGATCTGGTAACATATGTTGCAACATGGTGCTCCTCATGGCATTTCAGCTATGTTGCTCCACGTGCTCATACTACTACACCTGATGATTCCTAAAGAGCTAGCGCACGAGCAAATGAGAGGTAGCGGGGGGTCTAGGCGGCTGACATTACATGGTCACAACGCAACGTGAGTTCAGTTTCGCCTAAAGCACCGTGCAAGTCATAGCAGCGATGCTTGACCTAATTACATATAGCCACCAATCTCTTCGCTCTCGACCTCGATATTCCTGATGCTGCGGTATTCGTCAGTTGCACAAATTTCCCAGCCTCGCCCAGAATGCCGAACCTTCCCTCTCCAAACCTTCCTGAGCTCCAAAACTCCTCTGGCTGCCCTCACCGCACGTAACCCAAATCAACCCAAGCCATATCAACCAACCATAGCAACCCAAACCATCTCAACTCAAACATAGCAGCACAAACCATAGCGAACTACCCAAACCATATCAACCCAACCATAGCAGCCCAATATCAAACCAAACGTAGCAACCCAACCCATAGCAACCAAACATAGCAAGCCAAACGTAGTAGCCCAACCCATAGCAACCCAGCCCGTTGCAACCCAACGTAGCAAACCAACCATAGCAATCCAAACCGTAGCAACCCAATTCATAGCAACCCAA